TCTCATTTCCCATTTCAATGCAATTTCACAAGATGAATAAATACTTTTATTTCAATTCATCCAAGAGATAGCATAATTCCCACATTTCAAGCAATCTTAACAATTTAGTCATCTTAAGGCTATATTAATACTTTTAAACAATAATTTCCAAAACTTCAACATTTCCCATATTCCATGAAAACATCATTTATATGTAAATAAATAAACAATTTTCTAACATCATTTATTTTGACACAAAGTAAATATAACAACATATTCTAAAGATTTTCAACATCTTTATTAAAAATCTCCAATTTCTAGGTTTTCTCACCAAAAACCATTCATCTTCAAATATTTGAGAAGATCTTACCAAAAACATCTTTCTTTTACCAACATAGTCCAAAACCCTCAATTTCTATTTTAAAAGAAGCAAGAAAGTAAACCCACTTTAAAAATTACTCATCTTTTTGAATCAACTACCCATTTTCAAAACAAATCGAAGGATGATTTCAAAATCATCTAGATCTTGCAAAAACATATATATAACTTAAAGAAAATCCCTACCTCAAGTTTGGAGAAGAAACGAGTTGAAACCCCAAAATCAACGATGCCTAAACTCGATCTCCACCGCACACAACGTAGCCCTCGCCTAGATAACCAACTTTGATGAAGGACTTGGATCTAAATCTCAATGGGTTTGGAGAAATCAAAGATCTTGTGAGGGTTTTGGTAGGAAATGTAGAGAGAAGGGAGAGGAAACGCTTTAGAGAGAGAGAGAGATATATACAAAAAGTGACATTCAATCAGCCCAAAGAGAGAAGAAAAGGAAAAATTCCAGATCTACCTAACTTCCCGCACGTGCGGCGCGTGACGTGCGGCCAACACCCCTGCACGTGCGGCCCTTCTTCCTTCGCACCTCCAGCCGCACTTGCCTTTTTAGCAGTGTGCTTCAGGCCCCTGCCCTGTTTCCCGGACGTGCGGCCTCATCCCCTGCACGTACAGCCCTGGTCCTCAGCCCGGAATTCTCTCGGTTCAACTCCCGACACTTCAGACCGACCGAGCAGACAAGCAACTTCGAATGCGTTTTGCATTTTTGTTTTGAGGGGCACTGCCCCCTGGACCCCCACGAGCTGACTGGGCAGCTCAACCCTCGCCAGGGCATTGCCCTTAGACCCACCAAGGGGTGCTGCCCCCTGGACCCTCGCAAAGGGGCGCTACCCCCTTAACCCCCGACCGGCCTAGTCGAAGTGGCAAAACATAAAAGAAGGATCAAAACCGGGATCGCTACACTCTATGTGTTATATTGGTAGAGATAGGTAGTGATTATTAGTGGTAATAATGAAAATATCAAGTAATAATCCGATGGGCGATGTGGATGGCAAGTGCACATCTGCCAAACCACTAGTATAAATAAATAGATAAATAGAAAATCTCTAAAATGGAATCCTTTATCTCAAAATCTTTGTTCTCATATCCTAATACACTTTTAATTATTAGATTATGTTTCGAGATTTATGTATTTTTAACTTGCCATACTATCTAATGGTTTGATCAAATAGATATGTTAAAGCTGATATATAGCACAAAATGATGAGGCCTCACTAGATTTTAGTACGACATATAAGGATTTTAGAAATTAATTTTTTTGGGTCTAAAAAGTAATTTTTTTTTTTTTGATCAGCAAAGAAAACAGAACTTTATTGATGAACAAAGATAGAATTACACCAATAGAGAGAAAGGGAAAGGGAAAGGGAAAATGGAACATGAACTTGGAAATGGACACCACATTGCATAGGGGTGTTTGGAGAGGGGATGAGAAGAATGATATCATTGAAGAAGAAGAAGAAGAAATCATTAAAGAAAGTAAAATGGTATTATCCACCAGCACCACCCAATCAAGTGAATCCTCCATTGATCAATGTGATGGAAGCTCTAGTTCTTTTACCTTCCCTATGTAAGTTCCCTGCTATAACTTACAACCAACTATTCTAAATCTATACATTTTTTATTGTTTTACTTTTTTGGGATTATTATTAGCTTGTGTAATCATAGTTATGAATATGGAAATTTGAATTAAATATGCAGATTGTACAGTGAAGGGATGGGAAGCCTTGTCCAAATGCCAAAACCAGACTCCCTCCACTTTAGGAAGCACCACAAGTGTAACACCCTGTCACACATCGAAAGTTTACATGGGTGATCTTGAGCATATAAAACACCACTACATTGTTACTAAATAACTTAGACTTAAGCTTTTGGGTATTGTTGGTCAACCCACAGGTTACTTGGGCCAGCAAGTAGTGGGGCATTACAAATGGTATCAAAGCTGACCCATGCACACAACCATGTGAGCCACTTATTCTAGGCTGGCCACGAGCTTGTCGTGGTATTTTGATTGATTATAGACCCTCGCGAGGACGCGAGGATTTATAAGTGGGGGGAGTTTGTAACACCCTGTCCCACATCGAAAGTTTGCATGGGTGATCTTAGGCATATAAAGCACTACTACTTTGCTACTAAATAACTTGGACTTAAGCTTTTGGGTATTGTTGATCTGTACTATAAGATTGTATTTCGGAATCCTTAAGCTCTAAGGAGTTAGGACCTAAAATCTGGTGGATGAACAAAAGCCTCTTGACTAGAGCGTAATTAGAGGCTCTGTGGCGCGGCTTGCTGGTCCACAGATACACAGGGGATCATTCTTAGCTAATGCAAACTGGTTGTAACGGTCAAGAGGTTGTCTGACAGATTCATTATCCCCAAACTTTTTATTGTAAGGCCCTAGTGTCCCACATCGGGAATGGAAGGAGAGTTCCTGGGCTATAAAAGTAAAAACCTAAACCCTTATATAGCACCAAGGCCTTTTACCAAGTGGTGAGATCCCTATTAGAACTTCGCAGTTAAGCGTGCTTAGGCTGGAGTAGTTCTAGGATGGGTGACCCACTGGGAAGAACAAATCTGTGCGGGCGTGGCCCAAAGCGGACAATATCGATAACATTTGAAAGGTTGGGGCGTTATAAATAGTATCAGAGCCGACTCTCTAGAGTACCAAGTGTGGGTCGCTGGCGTCTCTCGGTGCTTGTGGGCGAGCTTGCGAGCTAACAGGCTACTGCACGGGGACGTACAGCCTTAAGGGGGGTGAATTGTAAGGCCCTAGTGTTCCAGATCAGGAATGGAGGGAGAGTTCCTAGGCTATAAAAGTAAAAACCTAGACCCTTATATAGCATCGAGGCCTTTTCCTAGGTGGTGAGATTCTTATTAGAACTTCCCAGTTAAGTGTGTTTAGGCTGGAGTAGTTCTGGGATAGATGACCTACTGGAAAGAACAAATCTGTGCAGGCGTGGCCCAAAGAGGATAATATCGATGACATGTAAAGGGTTGGGGCGTTATAACAAGGCCTTGGCTGCTCGTCGTCACTGTTGTTGTTTTTGAAACTTTGTTTTTCTTTCTTTTTTCCCCCTCTCTTTCTCGGTTATTTTCTACAAATAATTCTAGCTAAGATAAAAATTTAATCAAAATTTTATCATGAGCATCAAGTATAGGATGTACATTTAGAGTTAGTGTGTCATGAGTCATATGCAGATTAAATTGTTCGCATTTAAATTTTGAATAAAAATTTTTTGTTCTTTTTTTTTTTGGAGGGCGTAGTATGTAGTACAATTGTTTTTCTGTTCTTTTTTTTTTTTTAACGAAAAAAAATGATACTCTGAGGTATCATCACTATATTCGTAGGTCTAGGCTCTGAGATAATCGATTGCTGGCCTAATTTCATCCAACCCATAAGAAAGGACCCACCATCGAGACACTAATGGAGCTCAACCACACGTCACAGACGATCCCAACAAGAAAATGAGCTAGGGTGGTAGCTAGCCAAAGTTGTAGAAGAAATGAACGGGGAAGACAATAAGAGAAGGGTAGTTTTGTCTTTCTAAATTCATGATATCATCATTTCATTTTATATATATACATTTTTTTTTTTTTGAAAAACCAATTAATTACGATTTAGGAAAAACCACTAATTTTTCTCAAAGATGTAGTTTAGAAAACAAAATCTACATCAAACCAAGTAAGATCTGCTTGAAAAGCTTGCCGTACCAGTTGATGTCTTCCTTGTCATCGCTGTCCAACTTCGCCACCGCCGTCGTTGGACTTTGGACACCGCCAGAAGTTGAGTTGAGAAAGAAGTACACCCACAATGGTATGGGAGAAGGCTTGAGAGAGGAGGAAACTATTGTGGATATTGAAAATCTAAAAATTTATGCTAAAATCGAAGGAGAAAATTCTGAAAATCTCTATTGCAAACATCAAAAGTACAAATTTACACTTTAAAATCACAGATTTATATTCTAAGAGTGTAAATTTACACTTTAAAAATATATAAGGGGTCACCGCAATATCGTCAAAAATCTTCTAGAGAGAGGAGCTCTGCTCTCTATTTTGTATTTTTTTAATTTTTAAAATTTGTTTGGGAATACCATTGAGTCAGCAATTTTTTTGTTCTTATCATTTTTCTGCAATTTTTCTTAGAAGTAATCATGACTGAAATAATTTTAAAATTTTTAAAATATCATATACTTATTTTTATCAGATTAATTTTTAATTCTCATAATCCTCATATAATATTTTCTCTCTTTCAACTTGAATGAGTTCGCAAAAAGATTAATATCATCTCAGTGGTGAAAGATGACTGACACTACTTGGATTTGGACAGCTAACTCTAAGGCGAAACATTCCCTTTGGCCCTTACATACCAAGCATTACAAGGGTTGTACGGGCGCATTTTAGCAACACAATCGGAGATATGGTGACGCTGGTGGTGGCAACCACCATCGACCCAGCCTCCATCGGCCCAGCCTCTGCCCTCCTATCCATGCCCGGTTGGTATCCTGGTCCTCTCCTCCAGGTTAGCATCTCCTCTCGCTTCAGTCCTTATATTGCGCCGCTCATCGTCACTTAACAACACTTCACAAATCAGTTTATTTGTCACCTCAAATATTGAAAAATGGAAACACTGTATCAAAGTGCTTAATCCTGATTAACAAAATTAGAATTCTGATTAATTAATAGGTACAAAATGAAGGATTAAGAAAAGATTCGGACTAATTATTTATATTTCAAGATTTGAATTAATAAACCAACAAAATGCTTTATTTACTAAGAAAATTGGAATTTTTAGATTAATAGTCCATGCGGACACACTATCCCCATGTGAGGACTATTGAATCCAAGAGATTGTGGAATACAAATTTAAATTGCAGAATTGATAGGATTTTGTCCATCACTCTTCGTAATCTTAAACCAATCCAAACATAGAATAGAAATATAATCTGAAAGGATTGATAATCCTCGGACTAACTGGAATGCTATGCTAATCCCACGGAACTCGGTCTTTTCAAACAAGCATGGCCCAACTACACAAAAAATGGAATTGTTCAATGTTGGAATGGTTTCTGAACCCATATAGCAAGGGTTATTGGTGTCACGAGGGCTTTTAACATTTTAAGTTTTGCTAAATTCAAAATTAAATAAATAGTGTAAAACGTGTTTACCAATCACCTTTTTTTTCTTTTTTTGAAAGTGTTGTTAGTTTTTAACACTTGTGGGAAAAATAGAATGTGGAAAGATAGTTCAAATCACGTTTTTTCGTAGTTTGATTATAATATCTGTTTAATTTAAATTTAAAGAAAAATGTGAAATGGTTAAAGCCCCTTATGACAAATGTATGAATTCTTATCATGATTATATTGGTTTAGGACTAAATTTTTGTGGGTTTGTGTATAGGATATGTCGAGTTTTACGAATAGGACAGTGAGGTTAGTGAAGCATGATAAGAGTATTGTGAGGGAGGATCACTTGGACAAGCGGTGGGAGGAGGCGACTGGAGAAGTTGTTGATGAGGTCATATTTTTGAGCAAGCACACGGCAGCGTCAAATCGTCCCGCACTTACTGTTCATCCAATTGGTACTAAAACTATGCTGATAGGTTTTGATTCACTGTTCCTAAATTACTTGCTGTGATATGCATTACGTGTACTGATTATGTGTCGTCGTGCAATGTTTTCTGTGTGTGACATTTGGTTTAGGCGTGCCTCATTTACGGCAAGACGAGGTGCCACCTGCAGGTGGAAAGCCCGGGTGGGCAGCACCACCTAATCCTCGAATAGGACCGTGGTTGAGGCTCTTGAAGGCTATTGCTGAAGCACATAATCTCACTCCTGAATTTGAGGTAACACATTGTTAGTCTTTTTTATTATCACTTATTTTGTTATATTACTAGATTCTAAGCTCCTCCATCATTTTAAAAGTATTCAAAATAATTATACCGAATTCTCATTTTCATTATCAGGCCCCCTACTATCTCCCATCTTCAACCATGTTTCCCCTCATTTCCTAAAATGTAGTGACCTACTTTTTTCCAAATTCAATTAAATAGTTTTAAAAAGTATAAAATTCGAAACGTGCCCAAATGTGGTGAATTGAACAAGCAAGGAAGGAAAAAATGAAATTGCATGCATGTATATGGTTAGTAGACACTCACCACTAATGTTCTCGAGTTAGTTGATCTCGTTTTGCACTCTGTTCATGTAAATTTGCTTATCGGAAATTTGGAAGGCCATTTTTTAATAATTTGAAATCTTGAATCCTTTCTCCATTTACTTTCTATGCCCACCTCGTTTTACAAGAGTTGGAACATGGCCTCGAAAGTTCAAATGAAAGTAATTATGACACTTCATAAATATCCCCAAAGCATGAGTTTATCTAGAATTTGTTTTAGTTTAGCCTTGATTGGCATGTAATTTCGTTTGAGTTCTGCCATTTCTCTTTTTTACCTATAAAATAATTTTACTGTTATTATAATTAACATATATTTTTATCTTTTTACAGTGTATCATTCCTTACCTTGCATGGCTTTCCTTTTTTGATAGATATATATTTTTATTTTTATTTTAAGTGTACTTTCATGTGTGAGCACACATACATAGGGTGGGTTGTTTCCTATTGGTATTGCTCGGTGTAGGTCACATTGGAAGCGACTCATCATGGACCTGAAATTAATTCACCTACAATGTTTGTAGAAATCGGTATACTTCTCTTCACAAATCCTGCCAGTTTTATTAATAATACAATTTGCAATTTTTTGAAGATAAGATTATGTTTTACAGTTTTTTTTGTTTTCCGCCCCATTGTTTTTAAAGCAATAGACAGGTCAAACCTGAAATTATCTTTGTTAATCTTAATTTCCAGTCAGATATTTTTATGATTTAATTCATTGCAAATTGCTTCCTTCTGTTTCTTCTAGGCAGTACGGAAGAGTACTGGAAGAGGCAGGATGCTGCCCAAGCCATTGCTTTAGTTGAGTATCTTTTTCTTTCTTTCTTTCTTTCTTATAGATGTATATATATACATGTGTACGTTCCCTGATTAGCTGGAGTGGATATAAGTTTGTGAACATGGATCAGTTCTCAATGACTCTTCTTGTAATTATATTTAAAAAAAATAAAAAAATATCGGCGTACCGTAGCCGTACCCGTATCGTACTTTTTTTGAGTTTTGCCGAATCGGCGTACCCGTACCGTACTCGTACCCGCGCTTCCTTGGTTAGTAGGCACTCACCACTAATGTTCTCGAGTTAGTTGGTCTCGTTTTGCACTCTGTTCATGTAAATTTGCTTATCGGAAATTTGGAAGGCCATTTTTTAATAATTTGAAATCTTGAATCCTTTCTCCATTTACTTTCTATGCCCACCTCGTTTTACAAGAGTTGGAACATGGCCTCAAAAGTTCAAAAGAAAGTAATTATGACACTTCATAAATATCCCCAAAGCATGAGTTTATCTAGAATTTGTTTTAGTTTAGCCTTGATTGGCATGTAATTTCGTTTGAGTTCTGCCATTTCTCTTTTTTACCTATAAAATAATCTTACTGTTATTATAATTGACATATATTTTTATCTTTTTACAGTGCATCATTCCTTACCTTGCGTGGCTTTCCTTTTTTGATAGATATATATTTTTATTTATATTTTAAGTGTACTTTCATGTGTGAGCACACATACATAGGGTGGGTTGTTTCCTATTGGTATTGCTCGGTGTAGGTCACATTGGAAGCGACTCATCATGGACCTGAAATTAATTCACCTACAATGTTTGTAGAAATCGGTATACTTCTCTTCACAAATCCTGCCAGTTTTATTAATAATACAATTTGCAATTTTTTGAAGATAAGATTATGTTTTACAGTTTTTTTTGTTTTGCGCCTCATGTTTGATATGCAATAGCTTGTTTTTAAAGAAATAGACAGGTCGAACTTGAAATTATCTTTGTTATTCTTAATTTCCAGTTGGATGTTTTTATGATTTAATTCATTGCAAATTGCTTCCTTCTGTTTCTTCTAGGCAGTACGGAAGAGTACTGGAAGAGGCAGGATGCTGCCCAAGCCATTGCTTTAGTTGAGTATCTTTTTCTTTCTTTCTTTCTTTCTTTCTTTCTTATAGATGTATATATATACATGTGTACGTTCCCTGATTAGCTGGAGTGGATATAAGTTTGTGAATGTGGATCAATTTTCAATGACTGTCTTCTTGGATTGTGCCATTTCTTTCCATGTAATTTTTTGTCTTTTTGTATAGATAATATGAAAATCTTTTGTTAGTTTGCTGGCTTTGGAGATCAAAATCTTCTTGTTAATCATAATAGGAAACTTTGAATTTGTGACCGAATGAGTCGCTTTTGAATTTGTCATTTTGGGTTCCTCTTACTGCATTTACTATTCTCTTTATTTATAGGAAACTTTTAGATACTTTGTCAAAGTAGGACCTATCATCATAATCATTGCAATTTCACTTGGTTGGGTTTGGTTGAAAAATTCTTCACATTTCTCATTTTGGTTTCCTCCTGCTGTCTTTGCTTTGCACAGGTGCTTCCATACAGTCCTTTCTTTTCCATCCTCTTTCATTGTAGGGAAGTTTTAGATTATTTGTTTGAGTAGGACCTATCATCATATTCACTGCATTTCATTTGGTTGGGTTATATTTGAAAATTTCTTTCCCCCACCAAATACAAAAAAGAGAAAAATCATGATGTAAAATGGTGTGCTAAGCTTTCAAGACCTTTCCCACAAACTATTAATCCAAGTTTTAATGCAAATATTCTTTCAAACTTTATACCATCTTCACCATAGCATGTTTAGCTTTTTCTACTCCCTACAAATCCTTTAACAAGTTTGCATGAATTATACATTTCCCCCCTCAAGGTTGGGATGGGTTATAGGACTATATAAGTTTTTCTTTGATATATTTTTCTTCCATATTGTTTTATTTAATATTTAACAAAGTTTCTGTTGTTGTGATTGAAGTTAGTGTGGGAAGGTTTAGGGCTTGGTGGAGGAGCTGCAGTGGGAGACTGGAGCAGGTACGATCAACATAATGCAGTTTGCTTGTCAAACTCATTTTTTATCTTTACTATAGCTGTAGTACACATGTTCTGAAAACAGAGTAAACTTTTTCCATGTTACATGTATAAATAGAAACAAAATAAGATAGAAGAATCTGTTCCCAAAATGTATTTCTTTTACTTAGAATTATACTCAAATTCAATGATGCAGGAATAATGGTCAAAACAAAATCCTCTTGGGAATTGGTGGTGGACATTATGCACCACGGCATATGGATATTGTTTTGTAAGTTACTATACATTTGTCAACTTCCAAGCATTCCATTAGTTTGTTTATCTAATGTGCTAAATGGTTTAAAAGGGCATCAATGGAACAGATTCCTTAGATCAGGTTAATGTTTTGACTGGAAACAGTGAAATATTTTAATACATCAAACTTGTCATGATAAAATAGATCTATCCTTTTGAGCCATGTCCATTTAGATCAACTGAATGTGAAAAGGAGTCAAGATTAAAAGATTCTAATAACTCAGAACTCTACTTCTAGTGGTTTGTCCTCAGCCTAATTCCTACATTTATATCTGTTTAGATTTGTTTTTGTTTCAATTGGTGTTATTTCCTAACAGAAAACTCATGTTTCAGTTGACGACCTCATTAACGAGCAAACTGAAGTTCCTTACTAAAAAAGTAAATAAAAAGAACTCACACAAAAAAAGCAAGAAAATTCCGTTGGCACCATTGCCAGTTTCAAATTCTGATGAAAATTCTGTTTGCATCAGTGTTTTTTTCACCTGAAGTCAATGTTCAATATTTTCAATTTTCTCTTTGAAATGGTTGCTATCACTACAAACTAAACATTTTGCTTAAACTATATCTGCATTGATTTCATTATGCGTGAATACTAGCCTGGTCCTGTTTGGGGGGTTCAAAAATAACTTCAAATTGCAATTAATAAAATTAACATTTAAAATATTTTATTCTCAAATTTTGATGGCTAAGTTGAGGTTGTAAAGGTTCTTGTTATTAAAAAGTTCCATGCTTTTTTTTTTTAAAATTCAGGAAAGGTGGTGTTTGGGTGGGCCATCTGCTTTCTGGGTATTCATTGCCAATGGAAGATCTGGGTCAATCTAAACAGACAAATGTGGAGGGTGTTGGTGGAACTTGGAGAGAAGCAATCAAAGTTGCCTGTGAGACTACAAAGGCAGCTTTTCCAGGGGGTGAAGTTCTGGCACATCTTGATCACAAGTTAGTCATTCCCACCAAGGAATAGTTTTTTATTTTAATACATAAACATAAAACCAAGTTTACCTTAATGCTGTGTTTGATTGCTAAGATTTTGTAAGAGCATAAAACCTGGAATTTCTACAAGAGCAACCCCAACCCAAGCTCTCATTTTTCATTTCTTCTCTCACAAAATCTTATCAATCGAACAGTATAAATGCAAATTAGCAATCAGTGGATGAATCAATTATGAGATCATTCATAAGGGGATTAAACAAGTTAGGTATTTGCCAAGTACATTGGAAGTTGACGTAATGAAAGCCCTGCAATCATACTTTAAATGCTCATCTTGTGTAAAAAGAAAAACTACAATAAACTTGAAATTGTGGGGATGCTAATTTTGCCCAGCACCATAAAATGCTTAGTTTCAACATCTGCATTATTTGTTAGAGACGTCACACAAATCAAAATAGGTCTCTCTTAGAGAACTGAAGTCACTACTATGAAGAGAGCACATTTGACTACCTACAACACCTTAGAAGCTTGAAGTGATGGGACATTTTCTTCGGCATGCATTAAGTGTTGTGGAAGAGCTTCATCGGCATGAAGAAGGTTTTGAATTAGGATAGAACCAAGTTACTACAAACAAACAAAGACCATAAAAACCTAAGTTTCTCAGCTTGTTTGTCCATGCTGTGTAGCATGGATGACCATAGAGAGGACCACAGAGTAGGATTAGTCTGTCTCATCGTATGGTCGACTATGCTCATAAATGTGGTGGACTACAGTGATCATAATTTGGTTGACCATCTTGATGGATGTGAACAACTACTATGAGTCAGTATGGTTGACCATACCTTGGAAATTTTTAGAAAAAAATAGCGGGAGACGTCTTGACATAAATACCCGAACACTCCCATTTGGGGTCTTTTGATGAGAGGAAGGCACCTAGAGACCCTTATACATCTCTTATACACCAACATATGCATTTTGAGTGTAAATCTAATATTTGAATATCAAAGAGTGTGTAGCTTTCATTCATAAAGTAAGTGCTTTCAAGAGCCTACCCCTAGGGAATCTTTCAAGATATCCACTTCTGAAAGGTATAATCCTTGTCCCTCAAGTATAGACTTTACACTGTTGTTCATCTCACACCACACTAGTCTTACATGGAGTCATTTTGGGCTTAAGGGTTAAGGTTATCAGGCCCCCTTCCTGAAATCCATTTTCTAGATTTTGTAAGTCTAGCAAAGCATTTTAAGTTTGTGATTTTGAGTGAGCCTAAACCCATTATATGATTGTGGAAGACGTACCTAGTTAAAATCCTTGAAGGAGTGATTGTAAAGGTTTTGGGTTACCCTAGTGAAAATCCGTTTGATTAAAGTGGATTAATGCCGGTAGGGATGTCAGGAGTTGATATAGGCAAGTCACCAAACCACTATAAAAATCTTGATGTTCATCTTTCTATACTTTGCATTTTTATGATCTTGAGATAAATGTGATTCATGTGTGACAAATTAAATATTTACAATTTATGAAGGATATTTCACCAAATATACCTTTACAAGGAGAGTACACTTGTACGATCTAGTACAAACTTGAAAATTGAGTACACTTCTTTTAAATTGAAAAATTGGTTATATAAGTCATACTTGAGCCTTAAATGGTCAAGAAATTTATTTTAAAACCTTTTTAAATTGAAAAATTAGTTGTACAAGTCATACTTGAGCCTTGAATGGTCAAGAAATTGAATTTTAAACATTGTACTTGACTTTGGCTTAGGGGAGTGATTAAACTTGGAAATTAAAAAGTCTTACCCCACCAACCACTTGAAGTTATACAAAGTAATTAAAATATCAAATTGACTTGATTACACAGATTTGTCTAATGTGTAATGCGAAGAATACGTGTCTAATCATACTTTATTGAGCTAAGAGTTCCATGTGGGATTTTTCCACAGCCTAGTATTTTACCGTAATTTAGTCTATAATCTTGCATGGTGGAATGATTTTTATTTTTTACTTTTTATGTGCATAATTGGCAGGGACTTTGTTCATTTGTTTTACCGGTGATCTAACTAAGGTCGTCAATTATTTACCGATGGATGCAGGAGTTTCAAAAGTTGGCAAAGAAATGCCATTACAGGCTTTTTGGTGGAGCAGGACATTAAAATTGGCAAACTGAGCGACTTCTGCTGAATTTTCCGGGTGATGGTAGATTAATTGATTTATTTTTATTTGTTATCATAGTTTTCAATCCCATACCATGTTCTTAAAACTACTATTCTTTGAATTTATGATCATTTCCATTCTAAAATTGTAAATAATAATTGTCTAATCCTATAAAAAAGTCGTGGCAGCACATTTTTGACATTATTTCTTCTTCACATATGAAAGTTCCGCATGTAGTTTGCTGATGTATTTTATCACATTTTTGAGATTTGAGTAGTTGAACTAATACCCAACTGATTGAGAAAGGTGGTTGCTGTTTGGCAAAATGCGATTTATTTAATAACAAAAGTTCATGAAATTTATTAGTTTTTATAACATTGATTTTTTAGGGTAAATTACACTTGAGATTTGGAAAAAAATACAAGCCTCATAATAAGTTTGGCATAATTATGTGGATTTCCTTTTTAGTAAAGGTAAAGCAAACTAGATTAATGCATGTGGTGTGTGGACACGTGGAAGATAATTAAAATAAAATATATATTTTAGTATAAATAGGACAATATTATTTTCATTCATATGATTTACAGATAGTTGATGGTAAGGAAACAAAGTGATATGCCAATTTAAATCTCCAGGGAGTACAATGTAATTAAGCTAAATTTGTAGAATTTGTTGTCTTTTTTTTCAAAAGCATGAGGGAAGTTAGTGTAATTTATCTTACTCTTTTATTTATTTATGTTTTATTTTTTAAATATAGGGTTGTGCTAACAATATCACACGGTGGAGGAAATGCTAAAATATATACAATTTTATTGCATTTTTAACATCTTTTTAAATATTTCTATGAACTGCTTATATATTCTTATATAATTTTTACAGGGTGGTCATTAACATTTTTCTTATATTAATTTTTATTTCACTAAATTACACTACTATTTCTTGAGGTTTGAAAAAATTATATTGAGCATTACAAGTTTGATAATAGCTTGCCAACAACAGATCCAACTTCCAAATATCTAAAAATAAAAATGGCCAATTACACACACCACCTCTGATGTGTAAATCATATATATAATAAACTTTGTACATAAGTATACGGACCTTTCTTAGTAAGGCTCAAGCAAATAGGAAGATCTTTCTCTCAAGCATTTGTGGTAGAAATATAGAAGATTTTTACATATTAGAACCCACTGAAATGATACGTTCCTCTAATTTGAGAGTTCTAAAAGAGCACTAATGATATGGAAAATCAAAAAATAAAAAAATAAGGCCAAAATATCACGTCACATGGGATTCACACAGCAATTAAAATTATTAGAGCTCTTTATTTAGAACTCTCAATTTTTTTTCCTAGAACACATATAAACCACCAAGGGGCTATCGTAGTTGGTAAAGGGAGTATGCTTTTCTCTTTACTAATTGAATCCCCTACTACTCAAGTGAAAATCCGATGGTTTAAGTGGATCAGCTAACTTCTCCCAATTTGACTTATAAGAGTGGATCCTAAGGATCCTGTCTTGGAGGTGTTTTGGGTATATTTAAAAAAAAAGAGAAAAGAAAAAAAAAGACAAAAGTGGGACACCTGTCCAAATAGAATCCAATGTGAAACTCATTTTTTATTTCAATGTGTGTTTTATTATGAAAATCATCTGAACAACTTTCTATCATCCCAAAGCCATGCATATGACTTATGTGAGGGTGTGATTAATCTAGGCTTATTAATCTTCTAGGCAATTTTATTTTCCAGGATAGCAACATCCATACAAGCTTCAAATTTGTTTAGGTGTTATCTTTTGACTCACTGTTTTGGTCTTCTGTCTTTTTTAAATCATTCAGAAAATTTGAATAATATGAGGGAGAAGAAGCTTCCATTAGAAAAACCTCAAAATTTCCTTCTAATCCCACCTGCTATGGACCATAACCAATGGGGACTTGCCACGTGGAGATTTTTGTCCTTGACAGTCTGGAAACATATAACATCCGTAGATGGAGGGGGGGTCAATGTTTCAACTGCTTTGAAAAAACAAACATTACTTGGTCGAAAAACAACTCACTACTCTCTATTTATATGCATCTGTTTTCAATATATATGACCCAAAAAACATAAGCAATTCAATTGAGTTCTTGACATGGCTTTGGCAATGAAACATTTGATCTTCTTTGCCATTGCAATCCTTGTGGTCTCTCAAGCCACAGAGGCCAAGAAGCTCAAGCAAACCCAGGTTGAGTTCTACATGCATGACACGGTGGGTGGTCCGAACCCTTCTGCAGTTAGGGTAGCCGGCCGGTCCAACTTTACTAGCTCAAACCCTATTGCAGCCATGTTTGGATCCATCTACATGATGGACAACCCGCTCACTATCACTCCTGCTCTAAACTCAACCGTGATGGGCCGTGCTCAGGGCATTTATGGTATGTCATCTCAGCACGATGAGCTTAGCCTTCTGATGACGCTTACTTACAACTTCATTACCGGTCCCTACAATGGAAGCTCATTCAGTGTCATTGGTCGGAATCCAATCGCAAGTGAGGTTAGGGAAATGCCAGTCGTTGGAGGCACGGGAATGTTCAGGCTAGCTCGCGGATACTGCTTAGCCAAGACATATTCGACGAACCAAATGGATGCAATTATTGGATACAATGTTACCTTGTTACACTATTAAAAGCAGAGGCACTTGATTTTTATATATACTAGCGAGCGATGTACTTGTAATTTTATATGTAAAATTTTAGTCGACAAAATTTTAGTCGACTGGATGAATAATAAAGATGAGTTGAATTTGTAACCATTTTATGGGTATCACTGGAAAGTAAAGAAGCGTGACAAAATTTATTTTGACTTTATGGATTAGAATAGGTAATTGATATATTCTAAATAGTTTATATTGGGTACCCAACAAAAATCTTGAAAATTATCTCAAAAATAAAATGTGAATAATTTGATTATGACCACCACAAAATTTGAATCTATGGCATATACTTCAATTTTGAGGTAATTTTCGAGATATTTTTCAGGTACATAGATTTTCAATTGTTTTTGAATTATTATTATTATTATGAAAAATGAATAAATTTGAATTTTTGTTTGCAATAAAGTTTTAAACATTAATATGTTGCCATGTTTATCTCCATAAATCTCTCTCTCTCTCTTTGGCCACATGAATGCAATGTTTTTTTCAAATTCAAATTTGCCATTCCTCTTCTACGCTATCACTCCAACCTCTTCTTCTTTTGTCATTCAAGTGCCTCTCTCTCTCATCTCTATCTCTCTCTCTCTAAAACAATGTGTACACCATGGATGATAAGGGATTGGACAACATGTTTCCTCGCATGCAAGTTTCCTTTAGGTAACCCAACACAAAGTTTCAGAGTTCTAATTTCATGCAGACTTACAATCTCTCTCTCTCTATTGTTTTGATTAACTTGAAGAAAATTTTAGTTAAAAGCATAACTCTGATGTGGAACATTTCAATCTCTACTCTTTTTTTCATCAAATTTTTTTTTTTTGGGGGAAAAATTCAAAACTTATTCTACAAAATGTTTTTAACTTTTTTTTTTTTAAAAGACAATCATCCCCGATCCTTATTGTTTTTAAAATTTTATCAAATTTGAGTAGAAATATTATTGTTAGAAATTTAGTGAAGGAGTTGGTTCGTTCTTGATTTGGGAAAAGGTTTGTCTCTCCCTTGATTTAATACAAGTTTAGTGAAATGATTAGAGCTCATTTTTAGCTCTTTATTCATCAAATTTGAATTTGATGAAGAATTCTATTGAAGTTACCCTTTTGTGTATTTCTTTTTTATATATTTTTGGTTGCCTCAGCTTAAGATTCTTTAGCTTAGGCAATTGAAATGGAATAGCATGGTTGTGATAAAAAAAAAAAAAATGAGTAGAAATATTATTGTTAGAAATTTAGTGAAGGAGTTGGTTCGTTCTTGATTTGGGAAAAGGTTTGTCTCTCCCTTGATTTAATACAAGTTTAATGAAATGATTAGAGCTCATTTTTAGCCCTTTATTCATCAAATTTGAATTTGATGAAGAATTCTATTGAAGTTACCTTTTTGTGTACTTCTTTTTTATATATTTTTGGTTGCCTCAGCTTAAGATTCTTTAGCTTAGGCAATTGAAATGGAATAGTATGATTGTGATAATAAAAAAAAAATTAAATATATATATTAAAATGTACAGCCAATTATAACAATATCTTTCATTGATGTCAATTCTATCACTTGAAATGGAACCCTATTTAAAAGATCAAAAACCCAACTCTTCATTTTAGTTTTAAAAAAATGTTTTTAATTATTTTTTGATTTTCTCAAAGTGATTCCCATTTTATCTCTTATACACTACTTGAGTTAATTAAAATGGTGTGAGGTAGATAAAGAACCAGATACATTTTGCATTTCATCAGCTCAAGCTCCAAGAGGAACCATGGTGTTTAACTCTAATGGTGACAACAAAAAAACCTTTCATGAGATGAACAAAATGGCTTCGTGCAATAACAAATGCGATAGAGACAAAGAAACAGTCCCAAGTTCGACACAAAGTAACAATATCGAGTTAGAAGAGACGGAGATCGATGAGTCGAGCTGGCCAAACTTTGCGGATGAGGATTACATTGTCTTTTCTTTCAAAGAGGATGGAGCGATTCATGTGGTGCAGGATGGGAAGCCAAAAGTGTCTGATCATGTTGATAGCATGACGCGAAGCTCAACAAGGCCTATCAATCACAAGGTTAGCAAACATCTATTTTTTTAATCACCTTACCGTGTTACAAACACTGAGGATGGGATTTGGCATTGTAGTAAAGTTGTTCTATTATAACTTAGGTTTCAAGAATAAGACTATGTGCATTTAATCTGCTCAACATATATACTTGGTATTTCTTCTTATTTTTATGTCGAGATATAAATATAATTTTAAGAAAATAAAGATAGTGAAATAATTATATTGTGCTTATTTTTAGAAATATTAAAAATATAAGGTATTTTTGTAATTATAAAATTATAAAATACTACCTAGAGATTCATTGATCTCTCTTATTGTCAGTTTTTTTTTTTTTTTCATTCACTATCTATGATGATCAACCAATTAGGATTGATGATCATTGATGCTTAACATAATTATGTTTTGCATTAATCATATGTTACATTTGATTTTCTAATTGTTATACATTATGCAATATTACAAATTCTAAAAATATTTTTTCATAGACATCCTAACCATATCTGTATTTTTATTTAGGGGTGGTTTAGGATGATCTAAATAAGTGTATTTATTGACTTTTTATTAAATATGAGTTGGGTGTGGATTGGATTTGAAATGATGTGGTAGAGAGGTGAAGTGACTTAAATAAGATGATGTAACTTAAATAAGATAGTGACTTTTTGACTTTTTGATTTTTTTAGATTATGACAAATAAGGCTTTATTTTTTGTTCTATCAATGTATAGAATTTTATTACTTTTTAACTAAACTTGATTTTGAAATAGAACAAATATGCACTTATTTTCATTTTTTTGTTTTGAAAAACAGCTTAGATATGGTAATGAGTATGCGGAGAAAGCTTACAACAGTGGCAGTAGTAGTACAAGAAGCCATGGCCATGATCATATGTTGAATGAAGAATATGGAAGATATATTTATCCTACAAATGAGTCACCTTCTATCTCTTATAACAAAAAGGTGAAAAAATGCCTCTTGATGTTGTGCCTTATACTCAAATAAGAGTAATATACTAATAGTTATATATTTTGATTTCTAGTTCATTACACACTTTGGTATATATGCTAAACTCAAAATATATATATATATATATATATATGTTACAGTATTTAAAATTCTTATTCTAATTAATGGTGTAAACATATATTATTTTCTTAATTTTTTCCCACAATGCCAAATAAAATATTGTTTGTGGACACATCACGAGAAAAGTAGAGAAAATTTTACCAAATTTGGCAAATGATTTAACAATGAAAAAATTATTAAGTCATCCTAGAATACGATATGACATTATTTATGTAGTGTTCCAGATAAATGAGAAATGTTAAAAAAACATTAAGTGGGTTATCATATCTCTCATCTTAGCTGTCTAACAAAGGTGGGTCACAATTGTCAAATATATAAAATTTTTCACTATATTTATTGGTTGGGAATTTTAAAAAAAATGACAGTTGATATTCTAAAATTAGTGAATGACTTGTATTGAGTTTCATCATTGCATATGTTTTTCTATTTTGGAAACAAAATGCTTACTTATCAAAATAAATAAAATAAGTTGAAGAGAAAAGTAAATATTAATTGTTGTTGTAGGGAAAGGGAAAATGGAACCTGAACTTGGAAATGGACAACACATTGCATAAGGGTGTTTGGAGAGGGGATGAGAAGAAATGATATCATTGAAGAAGAAGAAGAAGAAGAAGAAGAAGAAAAAGAAGAAGAAATCCCTAAAGAAAGTAAAATGGTATTATCCACCACCACCACCCAATCAAGTGAATCCTCCACTGATCAATCTGATGGAAACTCTAGTTCTTTTGCCTTCCCTGTGTAAGTTCCCAACTATAACTTACAACCAACTATTCTAAATCTATACATTTTTTATTATTAATTTTTGTTATTTTTTTTTACTTTTTTGGGATTATTATTAGTTTGTGTAATCATAGTTATGAATATGGAAATTTGAATTAAATATGCAGATTGTGCAGTGAAGGGATGGGAAGTCCTGTCCGAATGCCAAAACCAGACTCACTCCACTTTAGGAAGCACCACAAGGCCTTGGCTGCTCGTCTTTACTGTTGTCGTTTTTAAAACTTCGTTTTTCTTTCTTTCATTCTTTCTGTCTTTTTTTGTCCCCCTCTCTCTCTCTCTTGGTATTTTTCTTCAAACAGTTCTAGCTAAGATAAAAATTTAATCAAAATTTTATCATGATCATGAAGTATAGGATGTACATTTAGAGTTAGTGTGAGTCATATGCTGAATAAATTGCCCGCATTTAAATTTTGAATATAATTTTATTTTTTCATTTTGTTTTTCTATTTTTTTGGGGGGTGGTATGTAGTACAATTGTTTTTCTTTTCTTTTCTTTTTTTTTTTTGAATGAAAAAAAAAACTCCAAGATATCATCACTGTATCCATGGATCTAGGTCCCGGAATAATCGATTATCGACCTGATTTGACCCAATCCATAAAAAGGAATCCACCACTAATTCGAACCTGAGTCACACCTGTGGAGAAGGATGCCTTCTCCACTAGGCTACCACCCTTGGTGGTTGTTTTCCTTTGTCGTTTTCATCAATCCTGGTCACATGCTAGATACACAGAATTAGGGCACATAAAAGTACACAAATAGTGCATTTTTGGGGCTTAGATTGATTGGGTGTGCTGAGTAATATTTCAAATACAAAAATGCAATGAACCATCTTTATTAATTCATAATTTTTCCTAAATATATGTGTTGTAGAAATTAAATTGATAAAGTATAGAATCCATAAGTAAAATAAATTTGAACTATTGATTCCTTTTTTTGAGTAAATTCTAAGTTCATAAATTTGAGTTTATAGTGTTATTATTTAAAATAAATCCAATGCACAATGCATTTTGCAATTTTATAATTTTTTTATTATGTGCGACTAGCGTTTTTGTGATTTTGATGATAATAGGATGTGTTCTAAAAAAAAATGTTAGTAGTATAATACAAATTTAATAAAAAATTTATATAGAATAATGTAGCATGATATCGAAAGTTCTGTTTGAATCAACATAAATGATCAAGTCATGCTCAACTCAACTCAAGCTCTGTTTAGCTATAACTTTTTTAGTTACTTTTTGACTATTTAAGGTCTCATTTGGAAACTACCTATTTAGTTTAAAAGCCAAAAAGTTACTAAAAAAAACCAAAAAGTTAATAATCTATATCAAAAAGTCAAAATTTTCTTTTTCTTTCTACTTTTTGAACATTTTTTCATAAAAAACAAAAAGTCATTCTAAACATACTATTTTTTTTACCTCATATTTTAATCAAAAAGTCAAAAAACTACTAAAATAACCTGTTCCCAAATGAGGCCTAAGCAAAATACAAACTAGACCATTTGACAGCAAATTTTTTGCTGACAATTGTGAAATGTTTTAACAAGATTTTGACAACTTATAATTAACAATCACGTTTTCCTTGAAAAGCATTGTTAATTTTTCGTACTTGAATTTAAAGACTTGGGGAAAACAGAATCCGAAAAGATGGTTCAAACAGTGTTATATGCTAAGTAAACAACGTGATTAGCAATAATGTTTTTATAAAAATGTGTTTGCTAAACACACTTAACCATAGCGTGCGAATTAAGTTCATACGTACACTATTTGTTTCATTTTTATTTATTATTTTTTAATTTTAAATGTCAAATTGTTAGTGTCATGTAGTGCTTATGAAGAGAAAGGAACAAACTAACTTCATGAAGAGACAGTTAAACTGTAAAAAGTTCATAAATAAGCATGCTTTCCAATGAAAACAAGAAATATCTCATTTACCAAAATGCATTACTAATATAACTTCCCAACCCACCTCCCTCACTTTCATTTGACAAATGATGAACCCCACACATGAGAACATCTACAAGCATGTGTTCTGTATTAAATATTTGAAAAACACATAATATAAAAGATTGGACAACAAAGAGAGTTCAATCTTGAGTTAATAATCATATGTTTATCAAGAGAGTAAATCTAAGTGCACAAAAAAAGTTCACAGAATGGAACGAATAAGTGATATGAAGGGTGGGTCTCACCTCTTTGTTTCACATTTGTGTCCCGTTGTGAAAATTTTATGTATTCTTCGCGTAGTTGCTTGGAATCCCGACTAGGGACTTCCGCTGCTCAGATTTTCTAAAAACAAATGATTGAAGATGTAACCTTGCAGTGGCAGCAGCGGCAATAGAATCTTCGTCTTGCTTTTCTTTTGCGGCAGCAACAGCAGCAACGTAGGCTTCTCTAGCCTCCTCCATCTTCTGCATCTCTGTCTCGTCCCAATCGTCCTGTTCAAACCATCTCAGATTTTTCAACTTACATATTGTATGGCAACCCAACAAACAAACCGAAGATAAATGAATTGCTGACCTACATCAATTCCTTTTAAGACCTTACAAAAAAAATAAAATAAAATAATGTACAGGCTAATTGATAATCTCTCCAACGCCAATAGTAACTACAAAAAAAAAAATATAAGTTATGCAAATACAGGAGTAAAAGAAATATCATATATACAACAATACAATATATATTCTTTTATTATGGCAATACATAGTAAGCTGATGAGTAGCTATATAAGTTGGTCATAATTGTCTTCTTTTCTCTATTTGGCAACTACTAAAAAAGTCACTTTTTTTTTTTTTTTGGAACTGTTTTTGTCTTTTGTGAAATTTTTATAAATTTGAATCAAAATTTTTTAATTTTCAAGTCCATCTATTCTAGAAAAATCTAAGAAATCAGGTTTTTTTTTTTTTGAAAAAACCCAAATTAAGTTCACCACCGCAAAAAAGGGCCAAAACCAGTAAACTTTTAAAACTTTTTTTTATGTCCGCAGTAGACTTTTTTCAAAATCTTTTTATTTTTATTTTACTTTTCAAGTACATCTAATCTAGTAGAATCTAAAAATGAAGTTTTTTTAAATTTTATGAAAACATTCACTAAAAAAAAAAACCAACAAAAAAACTGCTAAAAAGCAATTGCCAAACCCTAAGAATTACCAATTAAGCATGAATTTAATGCTTCAAATGCAACCAAAAACTCAGAAAATAATAATAATAAAACAGAAACACAGAAGAGGTGATGGTGGTGGGGGGGTTAATGAGCTTACCGTATGAGGAAGATGATTCAAATGATAAGGTGTGACATCATAATCTTCAGCAGACATGGTGGGATGATTCTTTGTCAAGCCTTCAAACAATGACAAATATGATGAAATCTCTCCTTGCATGGAACCTAGGTCTTCTTGGAGCTTTTCCACTCTTTTGTTGGAAGTCATTGCTTCCCATTGTAATTTTTCAATTGCTGCCTGTTTGTCAGCCAGTTTAATCTGCAGATAAAAGGAAGGTAGTAACAATGATGCAAGAATTCTCCAACAGAAGGGATGCGCACCCACCCGTGTTTGTTTGTGTGTCTTCCCGTGCAAATTACTGATGCGCATACTAACCAAGCATTATCCAATATCAGGAAAGAGTTTAAATTATAAAACCAGTATTTTTGTTTCCTTTTTTTTTTTTGGTGAAAACTGGTTAATTTGAAGTGAAGAAACAAACAATTACTAGACTGTCCACAAAAAGGAGTACTTCTCAAGGCAATGCTCCATGATTGGTAGATTGGGCCAAGGGAGCTTCTATTTGCACACCACACTTCGTCTCAATTCAGACCATTTTTGTCGTACATAATTAGGCAGGATGGATGAAACTAAGGAATATATCAAGAGTGTTGTGCAATCATAGGATTTCGATTACATTAAGGGAAAAGTTTTACTGCTATAAGATTTGCTATAATGTATGGTAGTAAATGTTAGGCAACTAAGGAAAAATATGTTCAAAAATTGAGTATAGATTAAATGATAATATTGAAAAGACTATGTGTCACAAGAAAAGATAAATTAAGAAATGAACTCATTAGAAATAAGATAGAAGTGACACAAATTGAAGACAATATTAGAGAAAACCATTTGTCTTTGAGACGGTACGATCATATGCATCGTAGACCAATTAAATTGCTTGTACAGAGGAGTGATTTAATCAACATGGAGGGCGGTAAAAGAAACGGAGGCAGGCTTCAGAGAACTGTGGTTTGAGGTGAAAAGGAAAAAAAAAATGACTATCTTAAAATTGAGGGTTTGACTACGAATAGTAATTGGAAAAAAAGATTCTGTAGCTGATCCCAAGTAATTGGAACACAACAGCTTGTTGGGTTGAGTTTATCAAACGAAATATCTTAGCACATTAAGGGTTGTTTGGGATGTCCTAAATAAGTACACTTTTTGGACTAAAAAGTAGAGAGAAAAAAGATGGTTGCTTGGGATAACTTTTTGACTTTTTACATTATTAAAATATTGTATAAAATAACAAAATTACCATTTTACCCCTACTATATGTAAATACCTACTGACTTAGATTGTACTGGAAGCCAGTCGGTTGGTAGCAAACATTATAGGAGCAGATTGCCTACAGTCCAAGATCGGACTAGACGGTACTGTTCGGCCCATGGGGACCCACCACGGGTCTCGTTTTAATAATCGGAACCGTTCAATGTGTAAAACTCGTCGAGTACTTTATACTTGTAAAAAATCACATTGATTGAATATCGATAGCTATCTGATCAAATTAGTTTTTTTGTCAACCATTAATTTCTTCATCGTCCATTTTGTTATACAAAACTGATTTGATCATATACCTATCGATATCCAAACAACATGATTTTTTACAGGCATATAGTATCCAACAAGTTCTATACATTGAACGGTTCAGATTATCAAAACGAGACCCGTGATGGCCCCCACGAGCTGAACAACACTGTCCTGTGCAACTTTTTTGTGCACCACCGGGTAAAATTTGTAGCATCAGTTGACAGTGTACCATCACTGCACACTGTCCTGTGTAACAGCACTGTCATGATTTTTTATATATATTTTTTTTGTGAATAGTGATAACTTTTTGACTTTTTTAGTAACTTTAAGACATGCCAAACCAGGCCTAAGTTGTAAAATTAACTTAATTATTTTGCACATCAAAAATTTCAAACTCATCTGAAAAGACAGAAAGAGAAATAAGTAACAGAAACATAATTGAAAAAACATGCCTTAAAAAGAAACTACTGAAGCTCCCTATGTTGTCTTGTAATGGATGACATAAATACTGCCTGGTAAACTTCCCTTTGGTTTGAAGAAAATTATTATATCACCTTCTATATGTATCTATCTTAGTTTATGTTGGATGTCACAAACCATTGCTAGGTAAAGTCACCCTGCCATTAAAATGGGCCATTTGCTGATTTTGAGACCAAATTTTGGAATTTAGATCATGTTTGTGAACTAATATTCTGTCAAAACAATGTGGTCAAATAGTAATATCTTCCACTAATATTCTATCAAAACAAGAATCCATTACATTAAATTATACTAAATGTCCAAGCAAATGGATTACACATAATTTGAAAACACATAAAGAATTTTAAGAGAAAGCATAAAAGCATTAAGACAGATACCTTTGCATCAGATAGTTGTAGTTGAGTAGACTTGATTAATGAATCCTTATCTGCAGCCTGGTGTTTCAACTCCTCAAATTTTGCATTCATGGAAGTCATCTGGGTCTTTGAAATCTCTGCTGATTTCAGAAGTTCCTCTTTCTCTAATAATTTCCTTTGAAGATCTTCCACTTGTTCTTTTAATGCAGTCAACTGTTCTCGGTCCTTTTCTGTTGGTAATGCCCTGGAGGAGAAAATTGAGAAACTGTCGGAGCATCCATCTTGGTTATCACTGGCAATCTTCCCTTGATCCTTGTCTGCATGGTCCCTCCGTTTTTTAGTTGGAATAGATTGAGCTACATTCCTTCCTTTTGGTTCAGTTAGCTAAAACATTTTAAGAATCTAACATAAGCTCCCACTTAAAGGTCCATGAACAGAAATTCAAATCACCTTGCATGAGAACAAAAACTACGAATAGATAGAAGGTTCAAACTTAAATTACCACCTACAAAGAAACATGATCATGAAATTATGATATGAACTCTTCTCTCTCTCTCTCTCTCTCTCTCTCTCTCTTTCTCTCTAACAAAACAATTTGCTTTTATAAATATAAAACAAGCAAAAAAATTTAAAACTAGTATGTTACGGGGAACTGGATCATGAAAATAATGGTATTACTTTTTTTTTGTATAAATACAACCTTATTAGGGCACCCAAATAGGTGCCTCCCTTATGCAACAAAACTATTTATTAGAAATGTGAGAGAGAAAAAATGCCCCACAAAAGATCCTTAAGATATGGGTTTAAACTCTCCTTGAAACCCAACCATACAAAACACCCAAAAACTTGTCATTAACTTGACTAGGCTCCTTTACTCCTTCCCATATTATGTGGACTCTTCTATATTTGTAAAGTACATGTGTCAAATACTCGACATTTGAGTAGGGGTCGTATGGATATGTATTCGACATATCTAATAAGACATGCACTCAACATGCCTAAGTAGTTAATGTTACTATAGAAGTATACATAAGATTCCCATTTTGTGCATAAAATGTTCTATGTTGGCTTTTAAAAGCCATTTTATCCTAAAAAATAAAATACATATTTAAGAAATATGAACATAGTTGTGTCCTGGTGTCCTTGGACATAAGAATTAGAAGAATACAATTATAACAAACTACACATAATCGTACTCGACAACTATACCCGAGTCCATGTAACATAGACTCCTTCAAAATACTAGCTTCCTTTCCCCCCCAACCCAAATGCCCAATATCAAGCAAAAGGAAGCTGCTCTCTGCATCTTCCTTCTCTTCTTGCCAATTGTACTCTGCTTCCCTCAAAAAACAATATTAGCCACACCTCTAGGAAGGTCTAAGACATACCAAACAAACAAGCACCCACATTTCCCTCACCATTCTATCAGTAAGGCAATGGACCAGACTCTCACACCTCCTTGCAGATAAAACACCAATTAGGTATAATATGGCTTCTATAAATCAGGTTGTTCACTATAATGATCTTCCATGACAAGGTCCAACACAAAAATGCAACATTGGAGATGACTTTTGCAGTCCAAATTCACTTTTAAGGAAATTCAGCCTTAGTTATACAGGTCAACACGTTATCATAGGATGACCTCAAATCTACCAGACATGGATCAACCCACACACTTTGCCCTCTTCTTCTCCCAAACCAACATCTCAATACAAAGTATCTTCATCAACACCTCAATAATCATGCACCTCTCTCCCAAAGGAGGCGCATCATAAAACACCTAATATAGGGTCATGATAAAAATTCATTTCTAATTGCTTGACAATGTGTTACCAAACTTTCAATAAAAACTTTATCAAACTGCAAATGCACAAAAAATTATTTCAAAACTTAATAGACACATTAGAAATAATAAAATATGTAACCGGGAACACCTAAGAAGACTATATTTGACAGACATTACAATTTATATATGTAAATGGGCATAGACCATTCTTAGAACTCTCTACTCGACTTAGCTTTTTTGCTTTTCGTCTTTATAATTATTTCATTTCATCTTTACTAAGTTTAGGCCACAAGAGCTGATTGCATATTGAAATCATACCAAATTTAAACAACATCACTTGTGTTCCTATATAGTATTTTTGCAATCATATCATACGTTGTCTATGATTTATATGATTCATGTGTTACTTAATTGCACTTCGCCCCACCAAACTTCTTATTTTTTTTACTTATATACTATATTTTGTAGAATAGTTCTGAGTTTTTGTAGTGTTAATACAAATCATTATAATTATGTTATGAAGGGATGCACCACAAAAAAAAATTTAGTTACAAATTATTATGATTATATAACGAACTATTATAATTATGTTATGAATATTAAATATTACGTACTATTATGCTGAAAAAAGTTATTAACTTTTGTGATTTTGTAACCAATCATTGTAGTATGATTTTAAAAGGGCATACAGTATGCATTTTTAAGAGTGTGTACCATAGTTTTGGTCATTTTATTGCTTAAAAAAAAATAAAAATAAAAATAAAAATAAAAAACTGAAAGTGTTTTCATCTTTCATTCATCAGTACATGACAATTTCAAAAATGTTGTATAGCAATCTATAAAAGATTACCATTCATGTATTGGATAAACTATATGATATTACTTCTCATTTGCATTTTTCTAGTGTTCTATCACTGAAATTTAAGTTCACGGATTATATTTTTTTAATCACTTTTTGGCGTAGTTTTAATAGTGATATGTTGATTTTAGTCGTCGCAATTGGAGGCTCCACCCCTGTGCACATCCTTGAGCATAAATCACAAAGGTCAACCAAGGCATTGCCAAGTTGCTTCAACTGAAGTAAATTTAGCACATGAACTGCAAATAACTTCTAGCTTTGATCGTTAAAACCAAAAGCTCATATTATTACTTCATCATCATAAATGTCAAAGTAAGATAAGGAAAAATGGATTAAAAGATAAAATGCAATGAGGAGATACACCATTCAGACAAATACTCATTAATCATGTTTGACACAAGCAAAACATAATTGCACTCTCGGTGACGGACGAAGATATGCAGCCCAAACTTCAAATAAATTTCAAAATTTTGGACAATTCCAAAGTTCTTTTTTTTTTTTTAAATCCAAAAAATAATAGTTAGATAAATCAAAGCCACAAATAAAAAAAAAATCTTACCTTTCTGGAGAGTGATTCTCTAGAAGGCGTCTTGGTATAGATCATTGAACCACGACGAGTAAATGATGAATTCGCTTTCCGATCCTACAAAATCCACACATAAAACCCAAAATTTAAAAACCCAATTGCGCAAAGTAACAAATGCTTCGTTTGGTTGCAGAGAAAATGAAAGAAGTAACATTATCCCAATTTACAAATTCAAATTATCTAAAACCCCAAAAAGCAAAACTTCCACTAACCCAGTGATTTCCCACTAAAATTTCCGCTGGGTCATTTTCAATTTCTCTACATCCAAACTCAACCCCCAAAAAATCAAACAAAAGCTAGTAAATTAGAGAGAGAGAGAGAGAGTACAATTAGGGACTGAACGAGAGGAACAATCTGAACAAGATCGTTGAAGAGGACAGGGTCGACAGTGCCGGAAGTTGCGGTGGAGATGGCGTTGGAGAGAGAAGACTGAGTACGAGAAGGGGAGTGATCTTCGGAGGAAAGCCATGATTTTGGGTCTCCGTAACTGGCATTGTCCTGTAAATCTAGGAAATGTTGGGGCTCGTACATTCTTGTTGTTGTTGTTGTGGTTCTTCAACAACAAGAACAAGAACAAGAACAAAGAACAAGAACAAAGAACAAAGTTGAGTTTGAAATCGAGAAAGAGAGAGACTAGAGAAAAGTTTTATGGGAATAATTCGATTTTGGTATGAAGAGAGAGAACTAAAAATTGACAGGGATCTTACAACGTAAAAAAGAGGAGTGATTCGACTTTACCATAATGCCCCTCGAATTTTTTTATGTTTTTTTTAGATTAATAACAATAATTACACTTTGACAGCCAAATTAAGGATTTGTTTGGAAATCACAAATGATGCATCCTTCTCATTTGAAAGTTTTAAAAAAGCATTAATGATGTGAATTTTTTTTTAAAAAAAGAAGCAAGGTCAAAATATCATATCACATGAGACCTAAATAAATATATTTTTTAATTTTTTATGAAAAATATGTAAAAAAATAAAAAAGTGACGTGACCTAAATAAATATACTTATGTAAATAAGTGTACTAATATAGATTATGCCAAACACTCTTAATTTTTTTGAAGAAAAATATCAACAAAATATATATATATATATATATATATTTTTTTTTTTACACAAGTCACTACATGAACCACTTTTATTTTCATTTCTACTTTTTTTTGATATTTCTCAATTTATTTTTATTGTAAAAAAAAAAAAAACGAGTTAAAAAAAAAGGAGAAAGAATTAAATGATTATTTGTTTGGACTTTTTGTCTAATTGTCACTATATATATCATTACATATATTCACTATGCATTTATACATCCTGAATTATTTAGGGGAAATTAAAAATCAATTAAACTTTTTAAAAATAATTACATATACAGAGAAAATTTTATGACTTTAATAATTAAAGTTTATAAGCTTTGTTATTAATCTATTAAAAAAAATTTAACTCTCAATTGATTTGTTATTACCCCAATTATTAAAGGACATTTGTACAATATATTTCATAATTTATTGAGGATTTAAATCTAAAGTTTCAAAATTAAATGTATATATATAAATAGTATTCAATGATAGTTATAAAAATACTCTAATAATTATTCACTTTGCTTGGTTCCCATTTTTTAAAAACAATTTTCAGAAAATTTTACACTCTTATTTTCCGTATTTTTTTGTTTTTACTAAATTTTTTTAATATTTTATGCAAATTTTTTACTTTTTAGACACACCTAATATAAATACACCTAAAAAGTAAAAAAATTGTAAAAAAAATCTTTTAAAAATTTACTAAATACCAAAAATACAAAAAAAAATACAAGAATTTAATACATTTTTTATATTTTTATGTATTTCTTAATTTTTTAAAATATTTTTTCATAATTTTTTTACTTTTTAGACACATCTAGTAAAGTGCATCTAAAAAAGTAAAAAAAATGTTTAAAATTTTAAAAATATTCACTAAAAACAAAAAAATACGAAAATTAAAAAATTCAATTTTCAAAAAACTCAAACCAAACACAGTGATTATTATTATTATTTTCTACACAATGCTGTCTCTACCTAACCAATGTTGAGATGATCCTTTGTTGTTTGTACCGCCCTGTCAATACTACAAACACGTGATATTATTTTTTTAATTAAAATCATATTATGTAATAGTGAATAATGAAATATGGGTTAAAGACTTTTAGGACAAAGGGATCATGTAAAATCCATATTCAACAGGAAATTATATTAATAAAAGTAAAATTTTAGTTATTCATTTTTTCGTATACTGTTGTTTATTAGGTATATTTTTATACTATTTTCTTATCTTATAAAATTTGTTGTATTGTTTTATTTTCCTTTGTTTGTGACGAGTAGGATATTGAATTTTTATTTCATAGGCGAATTGGTTACAAAATTCAACCGATTCTTTTTTTCCGATTAAATTCTATTTTTTCATAAGATATTGAAGCTTCAAATCATTGCATAAAGCATGATAAAGAGGTATAAGGTGTCATGTGATACTATATATAAATTTCTTTGTATTTTATTACTAAATCTTGAAAACATCATCTTAATTGCTTTCCTGACTTCAACTTCTATGGAATAATAATTGTTGCAGACTAGCCTAAGCAGGTTGGCTTTGGCCAACACTTCCATTTGTTGTATCAATGAGATGTAGCTTTGACAATCAAACCATCAATAAGTTGCTTAGTGTATAATTAATGGCCCAAATCTCATAATGCCCCTTGAAACTTTCTTTTTCTTTTCTTTTTTTTCTTGTTTTTTGCTTTCCCAGAACACCCTAAAGGTAGGAACCCTTAGAATCTACCCTTATAAGCCAAATTAGGAAATGCTAGTTGATACACCTAAACCGTCAGACTTCTATTCGAATAGTAGGGGATTGGGATTCAAACTCTGATCAATAAGGAGATGAACAAACTCCCTTACCAATTAGGATGGCCTCTTGAACCCAATATTAAATGCAACAATAATATTATGTAACAGTATTATTATTCAATGAGCAATTTTAATTTGCGATAGGGATCATAATAATGTTAGGTTGGTGGAAGATAAGACTTGTCCACTTAATCCCTTTGCGACTTTTTATTAATTGGTCATTCCATGTAAGACAGTGTTATCGTTATACTCAATTTTTTTTCCTCCCAAGACTATGGATGTTTCCAGATTGAAAGATTTGAAAATTAATTGCAACTACATAGTTAGTTAAAAATTAGGAAAACATTACTTGCACATAAATTACATGCACAAAATTTCTATTCAAGTAGTGTTAAATTTGTTGAGTTCAAAAAAAGTAGTGTTAAATTTGTTGCTCTACAAACTATTGTACCTTATTAAAAAGGTTAAAAGTTCAAGTCTTACATGACAAGACTCCCATTTTTCAGTCCATGGCCTCTATGTGTTAAGGGAAAATAATTCACCCATCCTTAGTACTAAAAAATAAAAATAAAAAAGGATTTGAAATTTAGTTATGATAATTCAGGCTTCGTTTGGAAAGCTATGGTTTGGGCTTTTTTGGCTATTTTAACCACAAAAAACAAAATAGGCTATTTTAGCCATAACAAACAAAACATCACATCCAACCCATAATCATTACATTCTTCTCTCACAAAAAAACTCAAAAAAGCCAAAAAGTCAAAAAGTCATTCCCAAACCAAGCTTTTAAGCCCAGGCTAAAATAGCCAAAAAAACTAAAAAGCCAACTCACTTTCCAAACGGAGGCTCAAGAAGTTTAGTTTGTATTTAGATTTCACCAATGAATGAGTTTATGGATTTTATAGCTGTTATATGGGTGGGATTTATAACAAGGTGAAGGAAGTTATTTGAAATCCTATTATATATTTGCACAAGGATCTTGGTTTTGGACATGTTTTGTAAGATTATTTGGGGCATTTTGTTTTTATGTTGTGAAAAAGTTGAATCTGTTTGATAAATGTCCAAAATACCTTTAAAAGTTGGGTAAGACTTCTATGGGAATTTTTGTTCAACATGTAAAAACTAAAAAAAAAAAAAACCTCTATTGTGAGCTTATAACTTTATAACAATCACTTTTTTAAAGCTACAATAAAAAAAGTGAGCTTGTAAGTTCTATTTTACCCTCTCTCTTAGGTTCTCCAATCCAATTTTCAATTCTCTTTTTATAGGTGTCAATTTGACTAGTTAGTGTTCAATTTAATAAAATGAAATAGAGTGGAAATATCATCATTCTATTAGAATGTCAATTCTTACGTTTAGTTCATTAAAAAAATGATGAAAAATATATTACAAATGAAATTATTTTTTAGTGTTTGATTTAATATAATAAAATATAGTGGAAACATCATCATTCCATTAGAATGTCAATTATTACGTCTAGTTCATTTTTTTAAAAAAAATGATGAAAAGTGTATTACAAATCGAATTCTTTTTTACTATTACAAGAGAATGATCATTTTACATGAAGGCTGAAGAATGATTGTCTTGATTCATTTTACTTTTATTTCAATGAGCCAAATGCAACATAAAACTCTTATTTTCAAATCTATCAGCCAAATGCAAACTACTATTTTGTTTTTGAAAGCAAAAACTTATCATCAAAGCAGTGTATAATTGCCAACTTATTTCCAGACCTGAACCAGGGACCCCAGAAGTCTTTAAAAAAAACAAGAAAAAAATTTTAAAAAATGAAACCCTATTCCTATTTCCTTTTGCTGGTAGAAAAATGAATTTTATTACATTTCAAGTTATTCAATTTTCATAAAATTTACACCAAATTGTACTACTGTAATGTACTATTGAAGTGTAACAGTGTTAAAATAGCACAATGCAATGTTTTTTTATACTACAATTTTTATGAGTTGATTTTTTTTAATAAAAATTAAATCTATGTTATTATAATTGGATTTTAATTTGGAAAAATTACCAGTAAATCCTATGTGGTAGAAAGTTAAACCATTTAGTCCTACAAATTTTCTTATGCACTATTTAGTCACACTATCTACATCAACAACAACATCAATATCATTAACATCATCAAAACATTAGCTACATTAGCAACATTAACTGCACCAATCGATAATATCAAACATTAACAAAACATCATCCAAAAAAAAAATATGTGAACATCATCAACATCATGATGTTCTTCAGAGATGTTCAAATCAGATTGAATCAATACGAGCCCTAATCAACTCCCCAACAGACAGATCCATGATTCTTCTTCTACGATGATCATCTTCTTCTTCAAATCGTTGTCTAGGGCAAGGGAAGGAGGTTGTTGGCAGCGTCGATACGGCTGCGGTGGTGGTGGTTCATTTGTACGGCGGCGGTGTGGGTCTAGACAAAGGCGAGGGTAGGGTCGTTGCCCCTCTCTCTCTCAGACAGAACCATTGCCCATCTCTCTCTCAGATCGTGAAACCCTAGGCGGCGGGGTGGTTATGTTGGTGATGGTAGTAGTAGCTATGCTTTTGGGTGTCTCTGTTTCATCTCCTCCATCAACATCAACATCAGGATCAGGTTATGAAAATCAGCAACAAGAAGTCGTGGTGGAAATCAATGTTTTCTTCGTCGGTCGTCAACCCAGTTGGGTCCTCTGTTGTTCTCCCAATCTATGGCAATGTTTATCCCCAAGGGTATTTTATTATTATTGCCTCCCCCTCTCTCTCTCTAG